TTTAAGATGTGACAACAGTCTAAGTATAATGCTTACTTTTGTTGTTGCTATGTTATGGTTGTTGAAAGGTGAGAGGAATCAAATTTTCGATGTCTGCAGGCAGGCTCCACAGTTTTCGGAAGAGTTTTACATATTTCATATCTCAGGAGATTATGGTAAAAAACTGAGAACCAACATTCTCAGTTTGCTGCATGACACACTTGTATAGTGTGCAGATATTCTCATAACTCATTATAAGTTATAAGGCAGTGGACCAAGAATTTCAAAATGCTCATCAAATCATTGACGTTGTAAGATTAGCACCAGTATCCCTTACAGACGTCTACATAAAAACAAGTCTTTGCACCTCAGCCAACTCAATAAGCACTTGTTCTTTCCATTCCATCATTTTGCCACACATTCAATGGAATAGCACAGTCCTGCAACAATCTCTGGGATATTACTGATCATCAGGACTGTACTCTTCAACTACAAACCTAAAATCTAACACATTCTGAGCAGAAGGTCACCAAAGCATTGCATTCTGTTTCCCAGTTTGCAATTCATGCTTCTTATTAGGTCCAATGAGGCACAGTAAACTGAGCAGTCATTGCTGCATTGCATGTGTATTCCCGCACAGAACCTGTGACTTCCTTACCTGATCTGGGAGAGAGGTGTGCCATCTTCGAATCTTGATGTTTGAACTCAAGATGAAAGTGAGTAAGGATGATGGTGAATTACTGTGGATTAACAGTGAAGAAAAAAATCATTATGCATCTACTATTACAGTATGTGAGCAGTACTTTTTTCTGGAGATTACATTAGGCTATTTATAGGCCATATGCATAAGTGTTACATTTTAGTGGAAGCTGAATTAATCGTAGTAAAGCATACAAAAAGCATATTAAGCATAGTAATGTTAGAACCATGAGTGACAATGGCAAAGAAAAGTTCACACTGTAAGCACAGTATGGAAGATTATGGAAGAAGTAACATGCCAATGCAAAAATGCAAAAAAAGTTCCACTCAGGAGCCTTTGGATTTCACAAGACTTCACAGGGCTCAGATTTGTATTGTGTGTTGTAGTAGTGGTTAGCCTCACCGCACTGGGGCCCTGGGCTCAGTTCCAGATCTGGTGTGCTATCTGTGTAGAGTTAGTATGTTCTCCCATATTCCAAGGTGGCCCTGGTGTGATGCATATATTAGTGTCTACCTGTATGTGTGCCCTGAGATGGACTGCCGTCCCATCCAGTCTGTATCCCACCTTGTACTCTGCAACCCTGAATTGGATAAAGCAGTTAGAACATGAATGGATGGATGCAATACCCATTGCAATCTTTTTCAATAAATCTGCCATTTACATTTTTTTTCTTTTGATACACACTAATCATTAAACATATTTTTATAAACAAAATACAATGTAATTGCTCTCACAAATGTCATCAAAATTATTAACCTGATGCATAAATGCTAGTGGATTAATAGGAACTGTTTCCTGTGAGGCTGCGCTTGGTGTTGGTAAGCATTAATTTAATGGTAATCATTTTGTGTTCTGCCAGCGCATAATTTACAACACAAAACTGAGGTTTGTCAAAATAGGTCATTATCTTGCTCAGTGATACTGGATCTCTTGCAGCAATATTTGCTGCAGCTCTTGAAATAAAATCTAGATGCCATGTATCATTCCAGTTTTTAATAACCTGAACCTCAATGTCTTTTTCTGCGTAAGGTTTAGGTTCATTATCTTTGGCACAGCCCCAGAGATCAAACTTACAAAAATGCATTGATCCTGAAAGGAAGCTTTTATTAACACCCACAGTTTCCTTTTTTGGAGGGGGGGGGAGTCTCTTCATAAAATTCCAGGTATAGCACCTTTCTCTCACATAACTTATGAAAGTCAGTAGGTGTCTGTTTTGATATGATACAAAAATAAGTCATTTCTTTGTGATATTATCTTTGATCCCCACAGCATAATATTGAACATTTCCAATGTCAAAGTAACCTAAATAATATATACAAATGCTTTGGTTGCATACACACTATATATAAATCACAAATATAAAGATAAATCTTGATTCAGCCACCACAAAATAAAATATTTTATTTGAAAATGTCAAAATAAAGATGGGAAAATATACAACCTATTTTAATGATTACCTCTTTCTGAAGCACAAAGGCTGTTTCTGTCAAGATTTTCTTTGTTTCCAATTTGCTTTTTATTTCCAATAGTTCTGTTTTAAATAAAGGGTGAATAAAAAGATAAAAATACATAAGATTCTGTTCTATAGATCTTTGTTCTATACAGTGTGGAAATGTCATACCATAGAAGAAAAATCTAAACAATTAAATTCTTGTTATAAATGCTCATCAAGACATATCATTTACTATAAAACCAGCTACAATCAGAAGAAGAGCAGAATGAATCACTTCTGTTTTAAATTTGCATGTTTTTTGACAGAGGGAAATTAACGATTTATTAAACTAATTTTGTTCATTAATATTAAACAAGCAAAACAAATATTCATTAAAATGAGTAATGAAATATGAAATCAAAATGTAGGCATCTGCTATTATAATAACATAATTTGGTTCTGCTTTCAGAAGGTGAACACTGAAAACATGAGCTGCTGGAAGGCCCCAGGAAAAGCAGGGAAGAACCAGTTTTCATTAAATAAATGTTTTCTTTGCCAAGGAAGAGACCAGATGCCTCTTAATCCTTGCCAAATTTCTGATTCCTTAAATTAAAGGACTGAGTTAGATCTACACTGTGAGATTCTGGGGCCGCTATAAGATCTCACGTCTGGAAAAAAAAAACTCATTAAAGGACCTGGAGACAATGAACAGCTTGTCTGAGTGCACCCATTATGGGGATCCTCCTAATGGGCTTTTTGGAGCAACATGCGGGAATGTTAGACATCCAACACAGCTCAGTTATGACTGTTGAGGACAGCTCTTAGCCATTCTGTCCATCTTCTGTTTCAATGGCTTCTTGTCTTCAGTGTCCAGGATGTTTTTTTCCTTCTTCTTCTTCATATTGTATTCCCCACAACATACAGCTGGTAGAGGCATGCATGACAGGTTCCAACTGAATGCAGCAGAAGTATGAAATTCACAAAACAGGAATCAGAACAGGGTGCAATTTATGAGCTAAGATTTCTTCAGATCTCAGTACTTCTGTATCAAAAGTGTTATAACTACACATTAGTTGCATTAATGCAACCCTGATGTAACACAGGGCAGTGTGATATTTATCTTTGCCCACTCACATTCTGAGGGTCCTGGGTATTTCTCTCCATTATATTCTCCCTGTGTTAATACAAGTTTTCTCTGGGTGATCTATGTTTAATTGGCTGTCCTAAAATTGTACCATTCTCTGTGGTGGTTGGTTGTCTTTGCACAGTGTCGAAGGGAAGAGGAGTTGTGTGCTCTTAGTCCCTCTTTGTGCTGGGTTTCCAGGACAGACTCACCAGTCTTACTCTAATTGGCTGCAAAGTTAAAGTGAGCATATTAAAAAAAGGTGGTGTTCCAGTTTTCCCCTTGTCCTTCAGCACCCACTGCATAAAAATTTACCTTCTTCATGGTTGAAGTCATCAGACGCTTCCAGGACATACCTTTGGACCTTGCTATGTCTTCTTTATTTTGTGTTTGTTGTGTTGTATTACAGTAACATTAACATAAACCAAGTATGTTCATTTTAATCTGACAGGACTCTTTAAATAGTAAGAAACGCCACACAAGAATACATGCCATTCCATTTCTCTAGAAACACAAAAAAACAAAATTAAACACAAAACATTTATTCACTTTAAACATTTTATTACAGACAAATGAAAATAAAAGAAGCATTGTGACACAAAATGGACGCGCCGGTGCCCAAAGAAAGCCCCAGCACCAAGAGAATGCAAAAATAATAATAACCAAACAAAATTTAAAAAAGAATGCACCTTTGTAAAAACAAGCCAAAAAAACAGTTACTTCATAATCGTTCATAAATAGATAGGAACCAGTCGACAAAAATTAAATAGAACTTGGGCAAATGGCTGAAAATAATATTATAATGCAATAGAACAGATAAAAAAATCTTCCATCACTGGCTTTACAAATAAAAGAAGTACATTTGGCAGGTTTATACACAACCTCAATGTCTTCCCCCTAATACGTTCCTTAAAACCATAAAAGTGTGCTACGGTGAATATAAAATGTATGTCTTAAAAGTAAATGCATTTTTTTCCACAAAAAAGTATTCAGAAGGATGAGTTCAACACAATTCTAAAACACCTAGTAAAACTACTTGAAAACTATAAACCCACTGTTATGTTTATCTTTAGTAACATTTCACATTTAGCAATTTCACCTGTACAAGTCATGTTGGGGACTGGAATATCAACCTGACTGGGAAAGCAACTAAACATGGAGCAGAAGTCTGTTCTTTATAGACAGACCCCTCAAGACATGTGGTCTGAGAAACAAGGTGAGTCTTTTTTTATCCAAATCCCTTCATACTGTCAGGACACTAAATCTTATATAGTCTTTTCCTGGGTAAAACGCACCAGTGAGCACAGTTTTTAATGCAAGATTTAGTGTGTTAAATCCTTCATTGAAAACATTTGCGTTAAATTCAAATTTACAAAAAATAAAGATAAAAAAATCAGGAAATACAGCTACAGTATTATGTAAAGGAAACATCTGGACTTCAAGATTCTCAATTTGATCCCTAGCAGTGATATATACAATCACACTGTGACAGATCAGAAAAACCTTGACAGGTCTATTATGATACAAAAAGCTTGATTTCTTTCTTGTTACTATTATTTATTTTTGCAATTCAGTGCAGCACTAGTGCACTCAGTTTCTCACTGCCCTCTTACACCATGTGGCATATACAGAGCCTGCTGCGTTCAGGTGACACCAAAGCAGGCGTCGAATCTACAAGCGTTAAAGTCCCTACAGGATTTGTCCATAACAGAGCTTGTGGCAAGCAACAATGACAACAAAAAATAAATAAAACAATTGAAAAGCAATCAAAAAAAGAAGAACTTTATTGTCTTCATAGATTAAAGCTGAACGATGCCCCAAAAAAGTAGGCCCATAGTTTTTTAATTTTATTTTTTAGGTTAAGAGGAGTGCTATGACTCAGGCTCTAGTTGAGGCCCGTACTTCTAAGTGCTTGGCAAAATAGGCTCACTAGTAGTCAGTCGGACTTGCTTGAAATCCTTCTAAAAAACACAACAAAAATAGAAGTTATAATGTGGGTTGGGGTGGTGTTGGGGGGGGCTCCCTGGTGTCCTGTCTTGTAGACTTGCTTCAGCTTCAAGTGAGGTAGAGTGGCTTATCCCTTGGTATCATGCTGCTGCTGAAAAAAGAATGGGACAAAGGAATTAATGTTGACTGGGAAACATTAAATGACAGCTGCATACAGACTGAGTCATTTTAGCCTTTTTGTGGCGAACTTGGTGAACACCTTGCTGGGATATATAGTGATCAATGGCTGTGGACAGCTTCTTCAGCTAGGCTGTGATGTTTCGAAGCCATTCACCTTTTAAATTATCCAATAAATAAAAGCAAAAAAGGCAATTGAAGGACTTCTGTACAATGGAAGAATAAACACCTTGCTTCCCTGAGACACAACTTCTGTGGAATACCAGTTAAAGGACGGTAAAATCGGCAATAGTACATGAGAAATATAAATCAACCCTGCCCCTTTTTACTAATTGAAGCACAATCTAGTAAACCTTAAAACTGTTATGGTAGTCTAGAACCTTTTTTCCATGTGTCACTGACAGCAAAGACCTTAATAATAATAATAATAATAATAATAATAATAATAATAATAATAATAATAATAATTGCTTACACTTATATAGCGCTTTTTTGGACACTCCACTCAAAGCGCTTTACAGGTAATGGGGACACCCCTCCACCACCACTAATGTGCAGCCCCACCTGGATGATGCGATGGCAGCCATAGTGCGCCAGTACTCTCACCACACATCAGCTATTAGTGGGGAGGAGAGCAGAGTGATGAAGCCAATTCATAGATGGGGATTATTAGAAGGCCATGATAGGTAAGGGCCAATTGAAACTTCAGCTGTTGTCTGTGTGGATGCAGTTACCAAAAAGAAGTATTTTGTCATCTGAACTGTTAGATAAATACTGAAATTCAGTCCTTTCCCTCCCTGGGTCTTACCCAAGCAAATAAACGTCTTTCTTTGTGCTGCCAATGTACAGGAGTTTGTCTTAAGAAAGATGCTTTTACAAATATCACAAATAATTTTAAAAATGTCACAGATGTGATCAGGGATCGGATGTGTTAAGTATGTGGTAAGGATTATGAGGTTTTAGAGTGCTAAGAGTGATCTGAAGAGATGTATTACATATTCTGTGATAGACAAGACTCTGATCAAACAGGGTCACTGTAAACTTAAAGGGCAGGAGTTTGTAAAAAGAGAGTTCATCATTCTGTAAGACAATGTTTTCCAATCCTAATTCTGGAGTATCCCATTCTCTTTTGCTTTCATTCATTTAATTCAAGCTGAGCTCTGAATCAATTAAGCTTACTGAGACAATTAATTGATTTATATGTATTTTCTGAACTCATGAGTTAATCTTATTAATAATCTATTTTGTCTGTATCATTTCCAAGCAACAGATCAGAACTCTATTTCAACTTATTTTAAAATTCTTACTTTCCTACTTTCTTTTCGAACTGACTCTTATTGATTGTCAATTAATGCTGTTTAGATACTGGTGGGCAGACCTTACACCTAGCACTGTGTTCATGCTCATTTCTGACCTTTCTCTTTTATTAAGAATTTGGGTAGATTTATTAATATAAAACAAACAGTTCAATTTAAGAGCTTAAAGGGCTAGACTGACAAGGTTTGGCTGAAATGAAAACCAGAGGAGAGGATACAGAGGTTATCTCAGGATTAGGAAAAACACCCCAAAGATATCTGGTTGGCTGTATTGAGAAGAAATTACAATGGCCTTGTATCACTGGCCTGTTTAACTCAATTTCAGCTGCACATCTCACTCACTCCAATAAGCTGAGGCACTCACCTGCAGTGGTTGACTCCACACTCCCTATTGCAGTATTCATTGTCCCATTCTGGATTCTGTCCTCCCACTGGATTAGAGGATCCTGGAGACTGAGAGCCAACACTGTTCTGATACTCTGACTGGATGTGAGAGAAGCCCTAAGAGAAAGAGAAAAAGCTTTCCATCAGCCTCCATAATCTTTAAAAAAAATTATTGTCCTTTTTTTTAAAGTGGTACCAACTACACTGCATCAGCAGTACTCCCATCTCTCTACTTAAGATTTAAGTGTTCCCCTTAGCCCTCAAGCTAAAGTGTGAAATATTCTACAGCATGACAGCAGTGGTTTAAATTACACTCAGTCTGTATTTAGGACATGCAAATTGTGAACAGGTGAATGATCCAGAGCTCATGCATGCACATAACTTAACAGGATAATATTTTGTTGTTTATTTGCTTGCGGTATTCTGAGGAAGCTGCTGTAAAAGGTCAAAGCTGTAATGTGTATTGTCTTTATTTCTGGCTGTGCATCATTTGTTGTAACTAATATTCTACAAAGGTGCATTTGAAGTTGGTAATATATACAGTAGGACTGGTATGTCAGAAAAGATAAGATCCACATAAAAAAAATAAAGATCTATTTGAAGAATAGGGACTGTACCAGGAAAACTGCAAAAGCTGGTGTCAACAACATTCTTCAATATTTGTTCTAAACTTTAAACGGATTGCCCCAGGATACCCCAGGAAATGTTTTTTTTTATATCTATGGATTTTCTCCTGATTAAACACCTTCATAAAGCAAAATCTGTCTTCAAACCTTTTTTGTCCTGACGCAGGGTAAGCCACTGCATGAGAGGCCTAAGCAATTGAAAAAGCAGAAGTGGTAACAGGAGAACCAGCTGGCACTATTTTGAACACACCAGACTTACCTGCTGGCCTGGAGGAGGTGAGTGAAGAGGAGCCTGTAGCCCCATCTGGTGGGAGATGATTGGCTGTGACTGGACCTGCTGCATGCGGATTGGCTGGTTGAGGAGGGAGGTCTGGTGCAGGGAGAGCTGTTGGTGCAGTGGTGGGCTGATCTGGAAAGTGGATGGGGGTGAGGCACTAATGCTGGGCAACATCTGGGACTGGCTCAGAGTCCTGGGCAGGCTGTGGTGTGATGGGCCACCATAGCTCTGCAGGTCTGAGAGGGGGAAGGATCCCGGGCCCAGGTACGTGGAGGAGGGCTGGTGTGGCACGCTGTACATGGGCTGTTTCGGTGGCATCATGTGCGAAGCCTGGCTTGTTTGGGCACTTTTCGTTTCCACCTGGTCGCTGTAGCTCTACAGATAAAGAAGGCAAATATAGAGAACATTTAAAAAGTTCTAGAAGGGAGACTTATGTTCAACTCTGTAATTACATCTTTATTCACTCAGTGGAACAGCTGTTGCACTGGCTAAGTTCAAACCGAGTAAGAAGTGACACAAGGCCCATGCCATTCTTTAATACATTGCTGTAAGTGACACATCCTGATACCGATGTTAAGATGCACTGCATGTTGTAAAGCACAATTTGTACATGCATTAGATACTTCTTTTGCTTCAATGGCATGGGACTAGACACTGAACTGAATTAATTTATCAAAGCATTTAATATGCTAGACCATTAGGACTACATATATTACTTTAAATAACACTATGAAGCCTCTTCTCTTCATTTTTTATCTGTCACAGTTGTTAACCAGATCTATCGATGATAGTTATCTTGTAATGGACCTCATTTGTATGAATTGTGCAAGGCCACTGATATAATCAATAGATACTGTACCTAGCTGAATGAATGGAGGTGTGAATTTGTACGTTTGGGAGCAAGACAGGATTTTCAGGGCTAAGAATGAGATGAATGCCAAAAATAGGTCATCTGGACATTAACATTCTAAATAGTAGAAAAGTAGAAATAGTAGAAAAAGGCAACATGTGCAAAATCATAGCATCTTTCTTTTTGTCCTGTGGTGCTAGAGGAATGTGGTTAATTATGAAAATAGATATTTGCATTAGAATGCTGCATTAGTCATAAGCATCGCATGTCAACACCAGAACAAGGCTCTTGCATGTGTGAACAGATACACAGTTAAATAAGACAGACGCTGTTTTTTAGAATTTTGGACTGAACTGATTTACTACTGCTACTTGCTTTACAATGCCACATTCAGATAAAGTGTGGTAATCAAGCTGTATTTGTTGACTGTGGAGCACAAATTATTAAGCAGCCCTTGCATGTGATAAGACACCAGATGCATACAGAACATTTGATTAGAGAAAAAATAGCATTCAGTCAGCTTTCAATAGATTGAAATTCCCATCCCTACAGACAATATATTTTTAAACGCTTTAAAAGTATATCCGTACTCTACCTTAATTTTATTAACACAGCAAGAGCAACGTAGAATCTGTTTCAAATTTATATTATTCAAAAAAAATTTAATTCCTTCAAATGATTCCCATAAGGTGCACCAGTTTTAGTTTTTCATTATTTTTTTTTCTTAACAATACTTTAAATGCTTGCCAATTTACAGAAACATCAATCACATATTTGAATTACAGATTTGACAGAATATTTAATTAAGTAAAATGACAGATGAGATTCATTCTTAATAAATACTGCCCTGGGAACACGCTGATGAATAAACCATTCAGTCTGTAATCATGGCTCTTGTTTTTTGGGGTGTAGAAGATTTAAAAGAAAGAGAGAGAGTCAGAGAGGGAGGGAAAGGGAAAAAAGCACAGAGATGCTGCAATTCCATTTTTTTTGGGTAGCTGAAGGAAAAAGAAATTAGTTTCCAAAGTACAGTAAAGTACTGCGAGGTCTGCACAAGGAAAACTGCAAAACTGCAGTTTAAATACACAGATGTGATCACATTAAATACACAGATGTGTAATTAAATACACAGATGTGATCACTTCTTGTGAACAAGTCAAACTATTAATTTCATCAGTCTATTCTGTTTGTTGAAGCATGATCTTTTTTCACTCTTAATAACCCTCCTAAACACATATTCAACTTCATTTTCGCACACTTGACTCAGAAGGTGTGATTAGGGCCCAGGACTCAAGACTGAATGATTGTGGGTCCAAATCCGCACTGGGGTGTTGCTGTTGTATCCTTGAGCAAAGTACTTCAAATGTACAATTGTAAGTTACTTTGGATTAAAGCATGATCTGAAAAATGAATAATAACTTGATCAACTACACAATCTCAGGGGGGTAAAGAGGAGTACCTGATTGATATCCTTAATGGATGTAAGAGTACTTGATATAGGAGTACCTGATTGATATAGGAATACTCCCTTAATATAGGAGTACTTTGAATACAAAGTCCCATTGCATATTCTCTCATATCACAGAGAATAACCAAAACAATCCTAGTTACCTGCTCCACATCAACAATTGATGGATAAAGTCTAACTTTAAAGTTTTTTAGAGTTTTTGTACAACATAATTGACAATATCACTACTTTACTAGTATTCCCTCAACTACGCCTCCTACCTGAACGCTTGTTTCTGCTGGTTCTCCTTTTTCTTGTTTTTCTCAACTGGTATTGCATATGAAATCTCTCCTGGATTCCTTTTCCTTCTTTTAAGTCTTTAACTTTAAAATGTGCTTTGCCAGCAGGCGTTTTCATACCGGAGGTACCTCTTCCCAGTACAGCCCATACTGACTATGGCATTCAGATAGAACTGAAAGAAGACCCTCCCTCATCTGTGGAATTTATGTTCTGAAAGTACTGAGGTTCAGTTTGAAAGAAAATAAATGCAACCAGGCACTCTGAGTACTTCAACATACAGTGGTTTCCTGATTTACAAAAGAAAGTATCCATTCATCCATTTTATTTATTATCAGTGCTTCTTCCTGGTAATGTTCAAGGCAATCTGGAACCCAGGCAACTGGAAGCACAGTGCCACAAGGCAGGCCTATGTGACGAACTGAATGCCAATCCATAGCAAAGGAACAGACACAACAGCACAGAGACAATTTAGAGAAAACTATTAACCTTGTCAGGCTTTGGGAGGTGGGATGAAACCAGAAAAGTCAGAGAAAACGGTACGCTGCCATGCTAACCCAGATTATGATCTTCTTAACATGCAACACATACAGTATGCCTCAGAAATGTAGGGAATGTGAGACATACAGTATGTTGTTGTTTCCCCTGTTGGCAAACTGCCCACTCCACAGTAAATTAGTTAGACAAGTAATCTGCCCATGGAGTATATTGGGGTTGCTTAGCTGGTACAGCAACACTTTTTATGTTTATAAACATGTACCATAGCCTTGGTCAATTCATATATTACCTTATTCCTTATAGATTACCTTAATGTGCACCATCAATAAATCATTTTTACACAGCTCTGCACTGTGATTCCATTGATTTCGTTGGATGCTGCATTTATTTTGCTTCCACTTTGTCTCTCAGAGCAGTAAACAACAACACCCTGACCTTTCAACATAAATCAAGACATCATATACTGGTAATAGGAGAGCATAGTCTCACTATTCCTTCAGCTGAGCAGATGCAGAAGCAGTAGTGTTAGGCTTCACAATTAATAATGTACAGACATGAAAGAACCATGAAGGGCAAAGAAGGCCTTAATTAAATCACCTTTTTATTTTTAGGGCAGGAACATCCATAACTTCAGCATATTTATATTGTTGCATGCTGGAGGCATCCAAATGTTTGCATTTCACATCATATTACTCTGTTCATGAGTTATAACAATGGGCATTCTGAGTGTTTGCATAGCTGTGTTTGGTTGACTGTCCTTTAAACAGTCAAACATAACCAGACCATTGTAATATTTTCTAACTAGCCTCCATGTGGGATGAAACACAGGCAAAGCAGGCTATGAGACACAAAAAAAGAGTGTAGAGACATAGGGAAAGAGTGATAGGACAGAAGGAACAGAAGCAGAAAAATGGGCAGCTTCATTGGAACCTCACAATCTCCAGGTAATCGGAGCATTAAAATGATTGAATCCAAGTCTTAAGTAAGGGACTTTTGATTTATCTCTATAAAATTCCTATTTCTCATTTGTGGTATCCACCAGGCTTAAAGCAATCTCTCATTTTGTTATGAATTCAATATTTTGAACATGGAAATAGGCTCCCATTTATTGAGCATCAAAGTAATAATACCCATATATAAACTACTGTAGCTTCACCACACTGTTCTCCTTCCTACTGATAACATATGTGTGGTGGGCGTTCCAGCACACTTTGGCTGTCCTATTTTCCTCTTTTCTTTTTGTATTTGTATGTATGGCTAAGTTGCCAGGTCGAGTTTTATTTTCCCTTGTCTGTAGAAGGCAGGGCCTGATACTTACTGTATTGTAAATATCTGTAGTGTATTAGTAGTGAATGTGTGTTTTGTATTAATAAATTATTGTTTGTCCTTTTTTTACCACCTTGTTATTTCTTCGTTACCACCCAGTGATACAGAAACAAAGACAACATGTGCGGAGTACTAAGTGGTGCTCATTTTTCCCTGACAACAGATAATGTATTAATTGTTACTTTTTAAAAATTGCTTGCATAGTAAGCTTGTGTCAGGATATTGATATTGATTTGATTGATTTTCTTATTTATAATTTTAACCTTTATTCAATTATTTACACCCACTAATTGATTACAACATAAATGCCAGACAAAACAATAACAAAGCACCTGTCATAAAAAAGTTATAAATAATGCATCTGTATATTTAAAGTCCTGGGATCCCTGTTTAGACATTTTAAAATAATGTAGGAAATGCTCAGTTTCAGAACAAAAGCAGAATGAAAAAAATGGGTCTGAATAGTACTGTATGTCTTTAGTTTATTGTTGAATAAAATCTCTGAGATTCATATACTATGATTTTGTATGGAGCATTTGCCATTGAAAGATTTGAAGAATTTGGAGAAGGTTTATCAATTTTATGACAGGAAATAATACTGATTATGTATTTATACACTAAGTGAGTTCAAACTGTTTCACAGCAATTTAAATTTTTCTTTAATAAATATCAAGAATCTTGTAGCATGCTGTTTAGCAGGGTACCACACAACATACCTCTGTTCTTCTGTTTTATTACAAAGCTGAAAACAGCAATGCATTTGTGGTGAAATACTGTACAATGCACACAAGAATCTGCCTATTTTCATTCCTGGATGATTTTACAGTTTGTTATTATTCTAAGGAACTATTTCATTCCAGGTGCTAGCAGATAGAATATTTATTCCAATGCACTATTTTCAAAGCAGTAACAGCAGTAGCTGAACCTTAAGGTGTAAACATAGACCAGTGTAACTGGTGATATTTTATATCTCAATTGAAACTGGTATTAAAAGTGACTTCATGTAGGTTAATTTATACTTGTGGAATATAATAAAGACTTTTATTCCTTCTGACCGGGCAGGGAGCCTAATTTTAAAGTAGCATTATGCAGCACATTTAACATTGGGCTGCACCCCCCTCTGGATTAGAAAGGAATTATTCATCTAATTTATCACAGTCATATCTGCACTGACCCCTGTGTATCAAAGAAACAACCTGTTACCTTGGAAACCAGACTGGCTCTGTACGCTGCCAGAGCCTTCAGGTACTCCTTCTTTGCAGCTTCTGTTTTCCTCTTGTAGGCCTGCAAAGTGAAACAAAACAACAATGATGAAGGTGAAGATTAGACTGAACATCAGCCTGAACAATAACACACTGCAAGCCCTGGTCTGCCTGCACAAGCCTGGAAAATCACACATCCCAGATCCTGGTCTGCCCACACCAACCTGGACAAACACCATCAGTCTATACAACTATCACACAGGGTCCCCTTCACCAGCCTGGACAATGACACATTACAGGCCCAGGTCCCTCCACCCCACCCTTGACTATCTCCAGGATTCCATCTGCTGTCAAGTGGCACAGCCCGTCTCTCCTGGCTCCCCCTACAGGCTACCCATCACCATTCTGGTCAAGTATAGGTTTCTTTTACATAACATACAGCAGTTCACCCTTCAGGTATTCTGAACCTCGAGGTGCTTAAGCAGGACCGTCAGCACCTATGTTGGCATGTGCATGAATCCTATCCTTTTAGATTAACTTTAGATTGTGAATTGAAGTCTGATAAAACTGATTTAAAATGTAAAAATAAGTAATTAAGATTTATTATTTTGGGGATTTATTAAGCATTTTGAAAGCGATCTTTCAAAATAACTAAAAATCAAGACATTTCTGCCATTCTGCAGACATAAAGACTGGATATAGTTTAGATTTGAGGCTTTGTTACAAAAATAAAGATAACAAATATATTTACAAAACTACCAAACTTTTCATTATTCTTGGACACATATCCCCACAGTCACTTTAGGGAAAAGCGACTTATTCCTAGTAAAGTCTATTCATTCTTTTCCTGGGTGGTTTTTGTTTTTTCTAGAAGGGAAAAACAGTGAGAGAGGAATGAGGGAATGAGGGAAGACCTTGAAAAGGGCAGTTTTCATCTTTGATCTGTTTTTTATTGTCTTAGAACATGGTATTAATATTTTCAAATAAAACCAGTGACCTAAAGTCCCTCCACTTAAATATTGATAGAAGCACACTGCCTTTTAATGAACTCCAAAGTACTCCCAGCCGTTTTAATTTCAAATTCATTTAACACAGCTAATGATTCACAGAACGACGGATATTTTTAAATAAATTACCATGCCTAAGGATTTCTAATTATTCCAAAGTGAGTGGATTCATTAGCAATTGAAGCTGTCAGAGTCTGGAGGTCGGGGATGTATTAAAAATAACTAAGCTGTAAGTAGCATATGTTGTGGTCGTAATCCTGACATGGGGGTGTCCCAGCAGAATTAGCTGGTAATTGTACCTTAATGAAATGTGCTTGTTTGATAACCAGTTAATTAAAGAAGACAATAACTCCAAACCCTGCTGACATGAGCCAAGCAATTAGGGGGGGAATTGTGAAAAACTTATAGGGGGGTGCCCGGTTACAGCAGGTACACTTTGGGGAAAAACCTTTTCTCTTAACCCAGCTAAACAGAAAAAAAGAGAGGTCTATGAAACTGTCATGGTAGGAAAAAGGGAGTTCTTTTTTGTTAAAGCCCAAGTGACCTCTTTATGAAATTCAAGCACAGCTAGTTAGAGCGAGACCTTTAGTTTGTACTATACAGTATGTGATCAGTTTAGAATGTCCTGTATCTCAGCACTGCATATTGCTCCCCTCCCTTTCATCGCCCACTTTATACTCTGCTGTGTCCACCAGTGCACTGCTGCAGTATCTAGTCCATCTCAGTCCTGCAGAATGTTTCCCACCCTGTCGCAGTGAGAGATAAATAATACAAAAACACCCTGAAACCTGATCCCCAGGGAATTTAAGTGCTTGAAAAAATAAAATGATACAAAGGTCTTGAAAAAGTGCTTATTAATATTATGAATTGATAAAACAATTGCATTGAGCAAAAGGTAAAACAAAATAATGAGCCTTTTATTACCCTTTTATAGAGTACATGAAAATGCATATTTACTGTCTTCGGTGGCAAATATTTTTTTCCTAGTTCAATTTCAGGAAATTTAAATAATAAAAAAAACTTTTAAATAATTACTTGGTGAGACCAAAGCTATCTAAAATCATTAACACCAAGTCCACCAGGGATAGATTACCTCATTAATTAAACAAAATATTCAAAAGTCTGAGCAAATATTCTGCTTTGCAATTCAATATATGATACTTTTTGGAAAAAAATGATTTGTTTATAGGACAGATCCTCAACATCCTAGCAGTACCTAGCAGTTTTGTGAGTTATTATTAATAATACATATTGTATATTTAAAAAGTAAAGGTACAATATGATACCTGAATACTGATACAAAAAAATGGTAAAATAAATATAAAGCTCTGAATTCTCATTATAATGCAGTCATTTCACTCTTCATTGTTCTCTATTTTACTGTACAGCCATGCTAAGGATTTTTTAAGGCACTGAGTGAAACACACTTTGACATAATCCACTGCGTTCATTCTTCATAATCAACAGTTTCATTCTTCAGTTTTTATTGTTAATCTAACTCAGAGTAACAGATCTGCCAGAGAAAACAACACAGCAGAAATTAACAGTGTAATTATTTTGCAGGAGTAGAAACATTTTTTTTTGCCTTTTTGTGTCTCTGTGGGGATTCGGTTTCACCCTGAGCTCACAGTGCTTTCTGTAGCAGGATCCTCTGCTGAAGACCAGTACATTTTTATGGTTACCTCTCAGATCTGTGCCTTCTTGTAAAGGATATGAAATTGCATGGATGGAGTCCCAAGGCAAATGGTGCTCTAATTAGGGATGTGTAGCTGTTGTCAAACATATAGAGCTTTTCAGAGGATATTAACCAGACATAGGTCTAGCACTAGATGGCAAATTGAATAAGCAAGTACAGCCACCCAATTAGGAACTTGGATTCTTCACATGCGGAGAATGAGAAAGTACAGACTGGATCTTCTGACCCAGCCATTTATCATTTATCAAGAAGCCAAGAGAGCTCTATCTGGCTAATCCCAGCCTTTCCTCTAGTGGTGCTGAGCCAGTTGTGTGCCGCTCGAGAATCCTGAGAACAGCCTAGTGACATGGCCCTGGCTTGACCCCACAATGTCTGAAGCACTTTTGCTAGGTCAGCCACGTATGAGGCTTAGATAGATCTGTGAATTTAAATTTAATTCTTCTTAAAATACATACAGGTGAAAAAGCGTTATATAAAGTACGTATATATGATGTCAAATACAAGACCCCAACATACAACAATATCAATTTAAGAGCATATAAACACCCACACCTTTCCTTTCCTTTAAGCCTTTAGCTGTTCCATATACACATACTGCCACTCCACCAGAGATTTGTCTGTCACTGACAGCTGGGGGAGCAACCAAAATAGATTACAAAGTGAGCCTTGAACAAGGGCTGTACCTACAGATAAACTGTTATGCATTTAATTCATTACACATAATACATTTTGTTGATTCTCCCTTCAGGTACATGGAATTATATTTTAAGAGATTTCCTGCTTTTTCTCCTCATCGAGTGTGATCACAGATCCCAGCACCACATCCTGAGGAAATGCACAAGCCCGGACTCAAAGGGGTTAACACAGGGCTTATAAGCCATTATAGCAGCATTCCCTCTTCATTACAGCACTGATGCTCCCTCATCTCAATAGTCCATCCTTCACTGCACTCATGAATCATTTCCATTTCCAGCCATTTGAAGAAATGAGCTAGAACCCTCTTTGAGTAAATATGACATTGTCTCTTCTTTTCAGAGCTTGCAGCCATCAGCATCCTAGTGCAAGGGAAAATGGCATTAATTATTATACTATGTTTTCAAAATGATTGTTATTATTATCTTTATATCAGGAATACATTTCAATTTATATCTATGTGAAAAAAGCCCATTTTATAGATACAGTATTACAATTTTTTTTTATAAAATGAACATAAATCGCCCTTGAAAGAAAATAAGAATTCCTAAAGAATAAGCAAAACTGAGGTTCCTTTATTCCAAGTTACATGTATTCCAAGGTCTTAATCTCTTACAGGCATACCTAGTTGTCTATTTACCATCTTGTACAAATACATTTCCCCCAAACACTTTTCAAGTATTTTTAAGCTTGAAATAAATAGCAGATACATATCAATATTGTTCTAGTAATAATGTGTAATCAAGATAACTGCTCTGCTTTTTATTTTTTTTTATTTTAAAAGAGATTTGTTAATGCATTCCTGCTAATAGTTATTTGAATAAAAGAAAAAAAGGCATACATTATTTTAATAATTTTAAGGGCACATAAAAATCAATCAATGTTAACTATTTCCCATCGTAATATGGATGTAAGATTTGTTACTCAGAAAATAGTTCAGAAAAGGCATCTGATTATTAGACAGAAAGCGCAAATCATTCTAATGTTCCTGAGAAGTTATACAATAAGAATAGGAGATCTGAAGAGTACAATAACAGCTAAGAAGAGGCTGTCAGCCCATCAGTTTCTAACACAATATTAGATTCAGGCCAACAGTAGGCATTTATTAAATGATCTCAAGGTCTTTCTCATGCTTTTTAAAGCTTACAAATTTCATCAGGTAAAGTGGTATCTGACAATGTAAAAAATGTTATATCCTGCATTTAGGATAATGCCTAAGCACATTTGCCATGCTCACATTTTTATAAACTTAACAGACTCTGCATACTCTACTGTGTCTGCTTTATTTAAATTCACACCAACTGGTTAGATTGGGTTCAAGAATCTAAAACACACATGAGATATTATTATTTAATACTGTAGCAAATCTTATATACATTTAAAGGTTTAACAATATCAAATAATGGGAAAAAGTAAAGGCTCACTCTTCTTTTCTGTTCTTTCAAAGAGAAACAACATATACTCATTTTAATAAAATAAGGTTTTACAATTTTATTTTATTTTTAAATTAAATTTTCACCCTAAAATTTCAAGGGGATTATTGGCACACTTTTAATAAAGAAACCAAAAGCTATAGTTTAAATCCCCACACCTTAATCAGCTAAACACACACTCTTCTCTGGGTGATGGCTCTCATCTATGTGAATATGTCTTTTAACCCACTGTTCTAACATCAATAGTTGTCACCTTGACCACAGAGCAATTGAGGTCATGAATGAAACTTGCAAAAAGCATGCAGGGACTGTTTTTATCGGGTAACAGTGTTAAGTTAGAGCAGCGTGCATGTGGTTTCTGTAGTTTGCACTGTTATTAGTATAAAAAAGAAACATCATTTCTCAAAACACAGAGACTAACAAATTCATATTTTGAACTTTTTCAGAAAAAAAAAATAAAACCAAACCAATAAGTATTTATCTCCACAATGCAAAAGAAAAGGGACTGCTGATTTAGCATAGGAATTATAGTGTGGGTGCTGAAGTTTTATTATCAATACTGCTGCCTTTGGCTACAATTTAAAATATTTTTCGATTTAAGTCTTTTCTTCCCGTTCCAGGTTGTTCTTTATAAATCCAATGTTTAAATCACTGGTACTTATTTTTCCCATGATAATGTGCAATTTCTGATAAAGACCTATGGCTGTATAAATTGCATATCATCTTGCATTTATATTTATACTTGCTGAACTCAAATGTCAATGACAAGAAATCCAAAAGAACTGCTATTATAAATATTCACCAGTTAGGAAACAACATGCTTAAACTATGCAATTAGCCTTGAATAAGAAGCTGGTCCTATTATTTGCGGAGGTTATGTGCTGAGTTAGCATGCTGATATTCTACGGCAGAGAATGGATATTCGTGCAGAGAGTGAATTCAAACCCCCTCCCCCCCGCCCTCCCCGAACTTAAGGGGTTAAGGAACAAAAACAATAACAGCACTTCCTGAACAGGTGTCCTTGAGGCGAATTCAAGGACGAGGCAATTGCTAATCTTGTATTCCTCAGCATGATCAAATCGCCAGGCAACAGATATAAATAAAAAGACAGGAAATGAGGAATTCACATTCGAGGGTGTCAGGGAACAAAATGAAGATTCATTGTGAAGAGCCGGCTGAGGGGAGGCCAAATTAACGACACAACCACAGCCACAGCCAAGCAGTAATATCAGACTGGGGGACATTCACTTTGAAAATTAAAACCAAGGATTAACGCAACCACTACACCTTGTCAGGAAGTTCAATTGTTTTATTTCCCAGTGCAATCTGTTGATAAAAAAAACAGAACATACCAAACACCTACACCCTTTTGTCTCTCTGCCTGTACCTTTTTCTATACCTCCCTGTCTATTTAATCTACACCATCTATCTGGTACTCTGTATTTAGACATGTATAACTAGGTATTACACCTGTTTTTAACAATAATTAAGAGAAAATGAAAAGTTTTACACAACTTATAATGAGAGCCCAGGGATATTTTTTTCCCCTTTCAGAGTTGTCCAATAAACAATTATGTTAAAATACAGAGCTACCTCATTAGATTTCCACACATACTTTCATTTAAGCTTAATGCAAAAGAGCTGGTAGTTGGTCTAAAAATGGGATACAGTAAGCCTAACTGTTTTGGCTGAAAATGTAATGAAATTCTGAAGTCAGCATGTGCTGGCTACTAATGTTTTTTTGACGTATTCTAAAGTTGTCACAGCAAGGAAGTGATGTACAGGTCTTTACAGTAAGGACAGCGGAACTTGTTTAGGTTTGTCACTAACTTCCAAACTGCTAGTGTTCTTGTGGTCCCTAAGACATTTGCTCAAAATATCTTGCTGATAAACAGAGAAAATCCTGACCTAAGGGATGGATGTTAGGCATTGCAGCTATAGCTGAATTTCACAGAAATAAGTAAAAAATTAGATGAGTGCAGCTCCATCACTGTTGGGATTTAATCATGATCATTCTTGTACTTGGAACAAGCTCAAGAGATACAGCCCTGCTCCCCATAGAGTGGGGATTTCCACCATACCAACAGTCTCTCATGGTGTAGTCTCACAGAAGTTTGTGCTATCACCTGCTGTAACAGGATCTGTGCCACTGAGTCATGGTAAGTACATGCAGACAGAGCTGGGTTATTCTGTTTAACACCTTACAGAAGTCAAGAGTCCACTGTTTCAAAGGACATGAGAGGGGCCTGCAATTTTAGAATGTTTGTATTTCATCCACATACAAAACTAGATTCTCAAAAGACTAAATACAGAGTCATCTTAAAACATTAATTTCGTTGAGTTTTCTTAACGCATTGCATAGAAATACAGTACACTGAAACCCCAAATGAACAGTAATCAACATGTAACGGCCTCATTTTCCGTTCATAAGGTGTGGTAAAGGTGGTAGCTGTTGAAGCAGAGTTTCCACATCACAGTATCTTTAAAGGTGCTAGGTGACACTGTGGCTGGTAAGTAAAAATCTATAAACACTTTTATTTTGTGTGGCTCTTCTTCAAGTCTTCAAACAGATAGGAGTGACATGTAATGAAGAGCCAAATGAGCAAATGTCAAAGTTATTCCCAAGAAAAAGGATGTGCTGGCAATAGTTTATACATCTTGCAGAGATTTTACCCACTCCGTGATGCAGCACACACAACCACTCCAAACACAAAAAGCTCCATTCTGGTTGCCTACTGTGCTCTGCTCCTGGCACTTTATAGAAAATGTGCTGATATCACATACAGTAAGGGGTTCTCACCTGTTTCTGCTCCTCCCCCAGGCTGTCCCACATGGAGGCCACGATCTTGGAGACGTCTCCAAAGGTGGCGTTGGGGTTCTGGCCCTTGATGGCGGCCTGTGTGTCCCTGAAGAAGAGTGCATAAGCCGAGACTGGCTTCTGTGGCTCATTGGGATCCTTCTTCTTCTTTTTCTTCTGTGGTTTGGGCTTCTTGATCATCTCTGATGATGGCCTTTTCTCTCCAGTAATCTGGAAGGCATACAGGTCCTCAGATTTGAAGGAAATCTTGCTAAGAGCTTCATGTTTAGTTACTGGAAAAATATATTTTAAAAACTCTTTAGTCTTAAAGCTGGAGCTGAAACAATTATTTGATTTATCACATTCAGTTTAGCAGGAGACAAAATGAATCACTGGGGAAAATCTGCACAGTGATTTTCCTGTTTGTCAGGTGTCAGGTTATTCTAATCATGCACCGAAGTGGAAATGACTATTTTAGTTAAAGAATGTTTTGCATATGATTAAACCTAATAAAAACAGTTTCACAACAATGATTATGTAAAGAATTATTGTGTCTTTTCTCAGTGGGTTGATCAATCAACTCATGTTCTTGCAGTAGATCTTGAATTGAATGGTTTAAAACAACTCAAGACATACAGAAGCACTCTTTACTGAAAACACATTTTGAAAAATCCAATAATCATGCCACACAGCTGTACGTGCAACAACAATAGTCAGAGTAATAAAGAATCTTATTTTATAATAGCTAACCTTGAAAACCATGTTTTATTTTAGTGAAAATGTAATTCTCTAACTTTCTGAAGATGCTCAGGCATGTTTAATGAGAACATCTGCCAAGGAAAGACAAGTTTAAAAGTACTGGTAATAATAATAGGTAATGTGAAATATGTAGAGGATACATTTACAGTATCTCAGGATACAGTACATAACATCTAGAGGATTTTTAGTTAAAAATAAATATCAGACAATAAAAAAACAATCATAATTTTCAAGCTCCAGAAAAGTAAGTGATTCCATGTTGACAAGCAGTCAAGTGGGAAGGATTGAAGAGGACAGTAATGGGAACAGAGAACAGGCTGCCAAGAAGGCCTTTAAACCTCACAGCCTTGTGTAAATGCTAAGATATCAACTCTTCTTATGAAACGGCTTAAGACAAGGAGCTGCAACTGACTGCCAAGCAACTATAACATCAAGCATTAGAGCAATGTTTTCTCCCATAAACCACTGCCTCATAATCATTGTTTAACACTAGTGGGGCTGGGCTTTTTCACAGAGAACATGCTCTGCAGGGACTGAGGCTTTCAAAGGGTCAGAAACCTCACTCCCCACCTTTTGATGTGAAAAGGGTTGATATGGGCAGTCTAGTGCCATTTCCTTTAATTTACTTAATGATTCTTTTAGGAGTTTCATGTAGTATTTACCTTCTGAAGGTTCTATAACACCTCTTTACTGTCTTGAAACTATTAATTTTATTGTAGGAGGTTGTAAATGCAGCACCTTTATTTTCAGCAAATTTTAATATAAATTTCCCACAATCAAATCACATTCAGGGGACTAAAAAGGAAAACCATGGGTATTTTTATACCCTGTTTGTTGCACAGTAGAACAGATTTCACAGTGATTAGTGATGCTCAGAGACTTTCTCATAAGAGATGTAAATGTATACGATAACAAGCATATTCAAACAAATTCTAAATGCACACTGATTAATGCATTCAGCCATAAACTGACATATTTGTTTCTAAGACAATGACTAACTGCATCTCTGAATATTTCGAAGCACGGTTCACATGAATATCAAATGTTCTGTGACCTTTTTACCCCACAAAGTCTGCATTAAATTTTATAATTCAAAGTCTCAGGGGCAAAAAACTCAATTCAGAACATTACATTGTCATGGTGCATATTTTGCTGAGCAGTGATGCTAAATCTCTGAGCTCACATTACACTCAGTACAATAAACCATATTATTTAGGCTGAAAAACATACAGCAAGAAGCACAGAATGGTGATGCATGCAAACGCGGTTTAAAGGTAACTAGTTTCTTGCAAGTATATTGTCTCACTACATAAATAGCCTCTTTTATGTTTTAATTGCATCCAGGAAGCTGTGTAAACGTTGTGTTTCACTGGATCTCTAATAGCTGAAGCAATTCTTCATTTTGCCATATCCACTGTTTTGCAGCTTTCATTTTTATTTTTGCTTAAAGCAAATCATGAATGCATATCATCTATAGTTTATCATTCACTTTTGATTAAGACAAAGCAAATGTTCCTTTTGTAAGACCTGTTTTATGTGGTGATGCCACCAAAAACTGTGTGTTGTTTATCCTGGTTTATCATTACCTTGGGGTTACTAAACCTCACAGTCAGGATAATTTTGCTCTATTCCATTCTGTCAATGTTCACAAATGTTGAAAGAGAGGGATCTATCCTGGTATGTTTCTTTCCTTTTTTTATGTACGTGTTAGGAATTTACAGTATGTTTGAATACAGTATATGGGCTTTAAATAACAATCCAGATCACAATTTATTACGAGATTATATATAATTCAATAATACAAGCTCACTCTGAAATCAGATGTTCATATATCCACAGTGCATATTTACATTTTGTTATAAACTTAAAAACATTACTTTCTGCACAATATATATTTTTAATTAAGGCAAGATCGATGGGGAAAATAAAGAAATATACAAATGGGATATGGTTTCTGAATTAAATAAAAAGGTTGTGCTGTATTTAAAGCTTAAATTATATTTTGAAAGAGAAGTAACATAACGTGCTGAGTGATATTTTATGGAAATTACTTTTACTGTTGCTGAGCAGAGCTAAAAGAGCATACAAACCATTTCTAGGGAAAGTCAAATCAAATATTTAGTGAAAAATTGATTGTTTAATGCTGCTGGATTGCAGTGTCTTCTTTTACATCCCATTAGAATCAGTGCTACATGAGTTGATATCTGAAGCAAGCTTTCAAATCTGTTTCGTTTCTAAAACACTGAAATATTCTAAAAGGAAACCATTTGCATTATTTAAAAGAGAGGGAAATGAAAATGAAATGGTTGATATAGAAGTGAACACGCACACAGACAGAAACTGTCAGCATAATAGCTTGTATAGAAAAATAATTCTGTTTAAACTAACTGTTAACTTGATGTTCTTTCAAAATAAGAAGCAACTACCTGCCTAGAGCACAGCTGATGTGCGTATAGCTTGGGATCCTGTTCATCAAGATAACTTTTATGTCTTTGGAAAACTGCATTTCGTAGGAGCAGGACCAAACTGGCAAACATTATTTTGTTGTCATTTATAATACCGCAATGAGGCCAATTCCCAGAGTTTTGTTGATTCCCTGTATGTGTTATGCTGCCGCTCTAGGGGATCCAAACATGATCCCAGAGAGAAAACGTTACAATATAAAACACTATATCCACACCTCTTTAGGTGACTTTCACAGAAAATGAGTCCAGTAAACAAAGTTTAGACCCTCCTGTTCAGATTTCAGAACTGAGCCTGGTCCCTTTACAGAAAGAACAGGAGCACTTCAAAACCTCTATCATAGCATAAACAGACTCCTAATCCTTCCGCAGAATTATTATCATGACAGGTATCTTGATCTCCTAATTCCTTGCTTTCTTTTTCCCATTTGATAGATGAAGGAGTCACTGTGCTCCATGTGTTTTTATTGTTATCCATGTTATTAAAAACAGAATACCAAGATCTACAGCAGAACACACCAAGCCATTATTTTGGAAGTTCTGCTACTCTGTGGCACATGCTGATCTGCATTCCCAAACCTGCAGCCAAAGAAAATGTCATCCTCCTGCCCTGTGTTGTTGCCATCATTCCCACATTGACAAATAAATGAATCATTTGTATATCAACGGCCACCCACACCAACTTCTTGTCAGCTTTACAGACTTGCTCCACGCAGTTTCTTCCTGGGTGATGAAAACCAATTCACCTGTAGGATACTCAAAACACAGCAACTAAAGCCTAGCAAAACAGACTGCCACAGTCTGTTTTTATCAAACTTTCAAATAGCATACTTGCTGTGTTAAGGCATTTCCTTCCTAACAAAGCATAGAAGTCCAGATATTCAGACCTTCTCAAATTATTTTCTCCTAGTATGATGCGGTTTCCTTATATACATATACCATTAAATATTTTTAGCCGGAAGAAACTGGAAGAATACACTAGCCTAGATTTACATACATCTTTTAAGATTTTTCATCAACAATAATATTTAAAAGATATTTAAGAGGAAGTACCACAGAAGTGATATATAAAAAATATTTTTTAGGTATTTTATATATAAGTATAAACATTTGATACTGAATGTAGCATTTTTATAGTTCTGACTTTATAGTTCTCAAGTTGCTTGGAACTATTTTTCAGAAAGCTAAAAACATTGCAGATAAAAGTTGCTCCTCTTTAGGAAGCCTATCTGCCTATCTCTGAAGTGAATGAATTAGATAGGTAATTTTCTCACTGTTTACTCACAAGGAAACTTGTGTCAGTTATCATTATGTTTTGTGGACAAAATAATTTTAGTTAGAGGTAATTAGGACTTTTTAGAAAATATGAGGTTATTGATTTCTTCAACACCCGAAGAAGGCTCCACAACCAAAACGTTATGTTTCCTTTCTTCTCTTTTCTTCTGTGTTTCTGTCCATCTTTATTCTCCCGGTTTATCTCTGTCTCGTTCTGTCTCTGTCTACCTCTCTGTCTCTCCCAGAAATTAATGGAAAAAAATAGAAAGAAAGATGAACTTCATGCTGTTTCCATTTCTCCCACTAGTAATATATTTTTTTCTTCAGACTGTGCAGTTTCATTAAAAAATAATCAGTTCCCAGTTTTATGCAATGAGGCAAAAAGTGTTTGAAACGACATCTGTTCCTTCTTGCTTTGATGTGAACACTGAATAAATTGAAAGGTGCTGGATGGAATGACACTGAAAGGCAAAATAATCTCTGGCAATAATCATTTGTATTTATACATTGCAAAGCATATCACTACATGACATCTGTCAGGAAAAAAGGCAATTTTCTTGAAAATATGACACTTGAGTTTTGCAAGCAGAATTGTATATGCATATATGTACTGTACACAGATGATGAGAAATGTTCAAGTATTTTAAGAGTTAGGATTCCTAAAACAAAACAAAATAAAGCTAATATTTTTACATCATTTTTAAAAAAGAAAAAATATGTAAGAAATACGAAATATAACCTTCAAAGTGCAGAAGCCCCTTTCCATGGAGCGGTGGCTCTTTTTCTAAGGATCTGTGCCCATGGCTAGAAGGTTGCTGGTTCAAATCCTGCAGCTGGCAGAGGAATCCTACTCTGTTGGGCCCCTGAGCAAGACCCACCTGTTCCAGGTGCGCTGTACAATGGCCGACCCTGTGCTCTGACACAAAGCTTCTCTCCCTGTCTATGTCTCATGGAGAGCAAGCTGGGGTATGTGAAAAGATGAATTTCTAAATCAAGAAATTGTATAGGGCTAATAAAGTGATGTTATGTTATACAATTTGTGAAGTGTGATTTGACATTTTAAATTTTTCCCTTTTTAGTAATGCTGGTTGCTGCCTTCACACTAGATAAACAACAATGAAACACAAGTCAAAGCAATAAAGACATCTCAAGGTAAGCAACATCAGAGCTACAACTTCCAAGTAGTTCATCCAAGTTTGGTTCCTCCTGTTCCACTGTTCATAAGTGATACATTGTACATTTTTTAAATTATCTGAATTAAACTAATTTACCCAAGAACAAAGATGGCATCCAGACTAAGTTTTTTCCACAGCTCCTTACCTTCACTTCTTACTGTTTCTGTTGCTCAGTTTCCCTTAGCTAACAGTTGTTCACACCATCTAATACTGACACCGAGTCACTCAGATTAACAGGAACCTCCCAAATAGCTGTTTATCATCACTGCAGGTAAACTGAGGAGAAACTCTGTCCACATTTTAACTCAGCACTACTAGCTTCTACTCTACTTAACTGTGGTTGATCAAGCACAATACATTATTTTTAAAAGCTTTGAAAAACCAGTATTAGTGCTTTCTTGAAATATGGGAACCACTAGCTAAAGATGCCACTATGACTACAGAATCCTTACTTGCAGTTGTGTTTTAATTGGATACCCATTATTCCTCGACTGCGTGACCAATGAATGTAATTTAGTGCCAGGCAGTGCAGTACACTCCCTTCCCTTCAAGTAATCAATTGACTGTTTTGGAAATGATGACAGGAAGACTTCTGAACACACTCCCTGTGATAATGAAGGGTTTTGAATAGATCGCATTTTATTACAAGACTCACATGTATTTTGACAGCTGAAGCACTGTATTGCTATTAAAGAAAACGGGACGAGAAACTAGTTCCTCCCAGTTGAAAGGAGCTAGGATAATTGGATTTTGAGCATTATGGAAAAATAAAATAAATCAAAATAAAATCAAAAGATTTTTACAACGGATAGTGCAGAACTGATCATAAAAAAGCCACTTAATGGTGAAACTCTTCTACAATGCCATCAAGAAAAGGTTAACTGTGGCTTTAAGAGCACTAAAATGGGTCTAGCAGAAAGAAAGCAAACCACCAGAAAGGATCGAACCAATGACATCCAGGGCACCAAGTAAATTCTTAATAACAGCAGTCACATGAGGTGACCACTAGATGGCAGTGTTCCCATAGCCCTCTCCAGTAGTAAAAGGAACCAACACTTTAGCTTAGCTGCATTGCAGGTACTTTAAAACAGACTGTCAAAACATCAGCAAAGGGCTGGGTTTGCATAAGGAATATTTTGTAGCTCAATCATTTTATGCAAAGTTCCTAGCAAGAAGGTCCCCAGAAAAATTTACTTTAAAAGAAAAAAAACAGTTGTATACTACACAAGAGGCATAGAAGCTAAGATTTCCATGAAGCAATCAGACTTCTTGCCTTTATATCTATGAAAGACTAAGTTTTGGATTTGTTAAGAAAGTACATGCTCGAGTGGTGGCATGCTTTCTGACCGGTTGAACGCTGCCTACAGAAGCCAACTATAACTGAAGAAGATCTCTACTTTTAGCGGTAAAGCTTTCTGTCTGTGCTCCTCACTAATGGAAATGGCTCACTCTTCCACAGAAGGCTCTTATCCACAATGTAGATTTTAGAAAACACCAGAAATGAGCAGAAGAAGTATGAAGTAAGGTATGAAATGAGTGATTGTTACCTTGGGTAAATTTTGTGAATAAATCCTTGACAGATACAAGCTGGATAACAAATAAACCAGTGCCTAGAAAATGTGTCCCACCCATTTCCTCCAAAAAACAAACAAATAAAGGCACTCTTTTTGTTTGTGCTTTTCAAAACAGGCACTTGTTTAAAGCATAACCAATTACAAGAGGAGGAGATACAATGAAATGTCATAAGGAAACGTAAGCATACAGCCTTTGAGAACCCAAGAATAAAGCTCGTTTGTGATTAAAGCATGACTCAAGCATGATTTCTGGCTCCCTAGTTTACAACTTCAGTTTGTGCTTTGGTACCTTTGCTGGTGTTAATCATTCGGTTTTGAACTTTTAGACTGGATTCTGGTTTACGGCTTTAGAACACGGTTTCACTACTCTGCACAAGATCCTTCACAATCTACCTGGCTACTGTAACACATTCTTTCTGATGTATATTGTAAAAGAAAAGTACAGATAGTGGACATAAAATGGAAACATCAATGCAAAGTCACTTAATAAAGTACCGGGCCACCACCACCACCACCACCAAGTTTAGCAAATTTAATATTCACTGTCAAATGATCTAGTTTCTTGTCTGTACTGGAGAATCTTCCACTCACTGTTGTCCTTCGCTGATGATGTCTTTCGTTTAGAGTTCTGTGTTGACATCACCTTAAACATCTTCATTCATGAAACATCAGCAAGTTGAGATATCTTTGGTCACTGAACCTCCTGACCCAGCAATCACCACATTTTCAACGTCACTGATGTCTCTTCTTGCAGTCATGCTAGCCATAATTTTAGGCAACCAAGCCTGCCCAGCATTTTCATACATGACCCTAAGCATGCTGGGATGTTATTTGCTTAGTAATCACATGAGTTGCACCTTTGTGAAAGCCCTTTCTTTCATTATACTATACTTGGTGTCCATCTTTTACCTAGTTGCTTCTATTTTTGCTCACTACCTGCATAAGAAGCCATTGAAATTTCCAGATACATCCTTCTCATGTACACTGCCACACATCTATACTTAAACTGCGTTGCGCTAATTTAAGGCACAGGCATAGCTACTAGAGTTAATTTTGTTTGTGATTAAAGCATGACTCAAGCATGATGGTAGCCATACAATCTACTGCTTTTACCCCCCATTTTGTTTCACAGATAACATTTTTATGTGTGAACTGATAAGTACAGCTTTCCTTGCCCCTGACACAGCTTGATCTCAGCTGTTTGTGGGTTCTGAGCACAACTCAGCTCAGTGCCACTCCCTAGATGACGGATAATTCCACCACTTCTCTAACTCGCTCGGTGGATGAGCTTGTAAAGAGCAAAAGAGATATACTTCTGTTAGACAATCTATCTCTTAGAAATAAGTGTTACTAGAACACAAGTTTCATTGCACAAAAGAGCTGCTAGCATTTGTATTGGTAACTGGATCAATGAGCTTGTGAAAAAGAGACAAACATCCATGAGTTGTATACAATGACGTTAAGGTTTTCTCTAGTTACTCTTTTCATTTCCCAGTCTCCTGATGTTTTCATGTTGTTTTCATATTGTTTGGAAATAAAAGGTTGCCGTTAACACTTTAGCTGCTATCCTCTTGTCTCTTGGTGTTATACACTGACACTCCACTGGCCTTGGAGAAGCACATCTTTTAACCATAGGGTGAATTGCAAAAACCAACAAACAAAAGGGCAGAAACATGAGTGAACAGTTGAAGACTTATTTGTTCCCACAAAAGAGATGTGCTTATTTAACATCAACTCTTTCCGGAATTAACAGAGGGAATCAGATATACAGTACCAACATAGGAGGAAATATCTAAAGGGAACACATGCATAAACTGGATCTCATGGAAATCACTAATTTCAATGAAAAGAAAGATTGGCTCAAATTAGAGTCCCATTTTTTCATTAAGTTGGCTATATTTTCTAAATCAACCTATTTGTATACTTTAGTAGTTCAGGTGGGTAGCTGCGTCAGCATGCGTAAGCTGCAAAGGAACAAGTAATACTGTAGGTTTATTCCATGCTGAAAAAAAGAAGAAAGAAAACACAACGTTGTGTTTTCTTTCTTCTTTTTTTCAGCATGGAATAAACCTATTACTTGTTCCTTATTTGTATACTTTATTAGGACATATCTATTGTTTGTTTTTTGAGAAGGACTGTTAAGTAAAGCCTATGTGCCCAAAGCTGCACAGTTCCTGCATATCCCTTCCCCAACCACCCAGCCCCCCCTCTCCCGTTCCCACTGGTACCTTGGAATGGGAATCAGTATCCTCTTCCTGGGCAGAGCTGGAGGGGGAGGGTGTGGCTGATTTACTTCCTGGAGGTGAGGGGGAACCATGGGTTACGGCACTTCGCAGGCCAACCTGAGAGTTCAGCTGGGACAGAGCGCTCATGTGATGTGACAGTATCCTAGGTGTTCTGTTTATCAGTGGGCCCTGATGGGCGCCGTCATAATGTGAGCCGTCAGGGTGAGTCATCTCCTGGATCTGGGATAAGAAAAGAAGAGGAACTTTAAAATTTTTTTAATTCCCAATTGCCTATTTTATAACTACTGACAGTTAGATGTAAAATCTCCTTTTCTTCTCCCTTTCGCCAGGAGACAAGGGGTTTACATTATGGGGTTCAAGAAGAACTGACTCCCCTACATACTGTATGTGCTGCTGGTCCTGCTGTAGCACAGCAGCAGCTGGCTGGAAGCGAGTTTTGGCCCAGTTTCCCCACTCTCCCCAGGACGAAGAACCAACTCTCATATCCAGGCTTCCACCCAGAGCTACAACTTACGGTCATTGTGCTTCAATGTGGAGCAGCTACTTCTACATTCAAAAGCTGTGTTGAAACATAACTATATGCTATGGTGGTGAGCTTCCCTTGGCTCACTTCCATTTTTTTCCTGTCTTAGTTCTCAAAAGACAAACCCAGACTGCCAATACACAACTCCACTGTGTCACTAATAAAGTTTTTTGGATTTAAAAATGTATAGCTAATAACCTCTTAGAATGCAGAGCCCGTCTAAAGAATGATCAATAGATCACAAGCATTTTTTTAAATGAGGATGTGGAAGGCACTTTCAGTATTACCTGACCTGTATTATTCTGAACACATTGCCTAAAAGAGCTTTGGCAATCAGTGTCCTTCTTCTAACATCTACGCCAATCCAATTCTCTGGTTGCCCAGTAAAATAAAAAGCAAATCAGAAAAGGGGGTCTATCCTTAAAAGTCTTTTGAATTACATTCTGCACATTCTACTACGCTGTTTCTTTACGGATTGTTGTTTTTGTGCACAGTCTGAGCAAAAGACTTAGAAACCCCATACAATCTCACATGAGGATCCAGGTGAGGATGAGGGATGCATCTATCAGTCATATGGAATACAGATCAACTTCTTTACACTGAATTATTTTATCTAAGACAATGAAGGATTTAAGACTTTGCAGTTATTTCTGGGTGCTTGTCTGAGTGCTTTGGATAACTTTTTGCACACTGCTAAGTGTGAACTGAGCTACTGTCATCTGTTAGCAGCTGTTAATGAAAGACAACATTCAATTCTTTGCCTTGACAAAATAAAAAGTAAAACATTTCTTGTGTAGCTGTCACATTCCCAGATGCCAAGTGGAGTACAGTACCTACACTAATCAGGACAAAACACAAAGCTGTGGTCTGGTATTTGTTAATCTAGTAAAACATTCATAAGCAAAAACTCTAATGAGATTAACACCGTGCTAACAAGATCAACTTGGATAGCCCCAGTAGATCAGATCATAATAAACACTGGTAAGGCATCTGAATTTCAGCCCTGGCTGTACAGTCATTTTAATTGGTCCCAATGGGTTGCTAGAATAAAATGTAGTGTAACAAATGAAAAAAACAAAAACAAAAAAACATGGCATTATTAAAAACAAGTACAGAACATTACATTTTCTTTTCCCTTTGTGGCTGGCAACAAAAGACCTCTTAAACAAAGGAATTTTTTTCTGCATTTCAAATTACTGAGCTAACCCTCCCCTTGAAAAAAAGAACCACCAACATTTAAATAATAATTTAAAACACCATCACTCCACATGTTGAAGTGGCTAAAGAAATGTTTTCCATTAATTTTCCATTTTGTGTGGCGTTGCCCTTTAAGGGGTTTCACAAACCAAGGAGCATTGAAAAACCAATTAATCAAACATGAATGGGCTATCATTGCTAGAGCTGGGCTATTTCCATAGCAACAGCCTCGGGGCGCAATACTCACCCCCTAATCGGAGCTTACTATGTTTTTAAAAAATGAAGGAGCCAGGTACACCCAGAACAATCTGAAAGGGACATTTTTCACATAATGAAGTATTTGTTGGGGAGCTGACTGCAGTAGTGTTTTAAAGACATAAAGGAATTATGAATGGGTGAATTGTATGTATTGTTAGGGAAATAAAAAATCCACAAAGTGAGCCCCCCTTTTCATTTTTGTTTCTTCAGGTTTTCTGTACGCCATTTTAACGTTTGATATAATTTCTCTTCCAACATATTCTATGATTGCCTATACTGGTACTGTATGGCGTTTCTCTATGAATCTTTCTTTTTTAACACAATTCTTTTTTAAGATTTATATTTTTATGACAAGCCACTGAATGATACATTACTGTGCTGTGTGTAATAAAGTGAATTGTACATACAGGGAGTAGGAACCAGAAAAGACCTATCCTTCAGAATCAGATTCTCATCAAATAAACGCAATTAGAAATTTTGGAATGTCACATGTGATGTTAATATACAGTATTATAGAAGCTTGTCTCTGTATAGGACAAAGTTTGAAGATTTATTTTTAGTTTTATGTTATATTAGTTTATTTTGAGTGGATTTTGAATCCATTTCTGTTTTTGTTTTCATTTTAAATGTGAAATTAAATGTTATTATGAAGTGAATGATTATTTTTGTTTCTTTTTTGTACAATATATTACTGTTGACTAATTCCTTAATGGTAGAAAGAAAGAAAGAGTAAAAAATATTATAAATTTGTTCTTTTTATTGTTTGTTAACTTGCTTAGGCTGTTTATTTGTTATAATAACTTTGTTTTTTAATATTCAGTTAAACTCTATGAATGTCTGCCTATCTCTCACACTGGCTTTACAAAATCTAAAGAAAGAGAATGACTGTTTCGGTATCATTTGTCCTTATTTATCTTCACACAGCACATTAGAATTAAGGCTACATTTCTGCCTTTTAATTAATTTCAATGAATATATTTTTACGAATAATATTAAATTAGTTTTCTCTCTGATCCAGTGGGAGAAACCATATCTTGGCACATGACAGCTCATTACCACGTTACCTCAATATGCTCAGAGTTGCACTTAATAGTTGCACTTAATTGCTGTTTCATTTTCCACATGGTTTTCTCAAAAAAGCACAAACATCCCATTTTGAACTCCGAACGCATGTGCAAGTATAAAGTCTGTCTCTTGTTCGCCTGCCTATCATTTGTGATAAAAGACCAATACAACGATAAGGGTCAGCATTTTCATTTTGAATCAGATTATTCTTAAAAATCAGAACAAGTCAGCTCAATACACATTATTATTTACAAAAAATATCTTGCACTAAGAGCTACTATAACTTTTTTAAAAGAGTTATCCCAATAAATATGCAGTATTTAGCCCTTTTTGTGGTTTCTTTTCATTCAGCTGCACTACAGTTTACAGTTTTACTTTAATTCTCTCCTATCTTAACCAGGAGCGAGCAGGACCATTACTTCCTCTGGGTTAAGAGAAACTGTGTGATGTGACTGCTGTACAAACATTATGAAAGGCTATTACAAAGGTTGGTGGTTGCCATAGGTACTGTATGCTAATAGTTCCATGGTATCATCCTCAGAGGGGGAGCCAAAGTCAAGGCAACTTGCTCTGTGTTGGTATCAAAGCTTCACTTTTGGAGGCCAAGAGTTACAAAAAGGATGCATCTCAAATTTAAATTTGAGCAAGAAACAAGGTATTTCAGACTCACATAAAGCAAATATATTAATTTCTATTTTTTTTTCTTGAAGAAGAGTATTGTTTTGTTTAAAGTATTTCAACATGATACCTAATGCCCAATGCACCTACTACCTTGTTTGTATTTACTTTCTTAGATGAGGGAAGGAATCCTACAGAGAGAAAATATTTTTTTCTAATTTAAATTTATTGAAAAATATTTCTGTCATGTTATTCCTACTTTTGTAGCAATGGTTATTTTCCCAATGGATATGGTATTATTAGAATGACTCTCTTAATCTGATCGTTAATGACACTGCTTCGCTGTACATATTGTAAATGCAAATGTTGGCAAGACAACACAAAACACAGCTAAATAGCTTCTTTTTAAGAGAAAAACAGAGTTGACAACAGATGAAATTCCAATGATTGACAAGACACATAAAACATAATTTTCTTCCATCTCTGGGTACTAATGTTAAAAACATTTAGGATTTAAAAAAAATTAATATCCATCAACAAGGGGAACTTCAATTTAGAAAAGCTTAGTTTCCACTTAGCTTCCTAATTTCATTTCAGAGTTAACAAACATCTGGATTATATGTGCAATTAATGTAAGACATATAACAATTTTGAACGTACTGTATGTTTCAGGTTTCATTTCTGCAAATATTTCATAATTGAAAAACAAACATCCAAAGAATATGGTCCTACTTCCATGTTAATTAGGTGACTCAAACAACACAATGTTTAGGAGAAAAAAACAGTTCCTGGAACACCAATCTTAAATGACAGATGTTTTACTGAAACTTTGAGATAAGCTGTATGGCAGTGCTGTGAAATTGATTTTCTGACATCTGTTTTTAATGTTATATGATTTGTATTTGTGATAGATACAGAGTATGATGCATTGATCTTCCTTAGTCCTCTCCAAAACAGAACAGAATCACATTCATCTTAATTCAGGAACATAAAAACCAATAAAGAGTGCACTGTAAATGATGAAAAAACAAGAAAGCTGCATTTAAGACAGTGATGAGCTTTTTGCAACACATTTCACAGCCTTGAATTTTTGAGAATTTGAATGCCTATTTTACTCAAATGAAAGCCATACTGTACAGTATATAAGAGGCCATCCAATGAGACGTTGTTCACAGAGCCTGAGACGAGATATACAGTAAGATCTTTTGCATTCAGGTTCCACAGGTCTGTTGATTTCAGCTTGGAAATGATTTCAGTATCAGCTATGACTGCCCTGCAACACCTGGCCTGCCAAAAGAGATATATTTATGGCACTAACAGCAACACTACCAAATAACACAAATATTAAAAAAACAGAGTAACAGCTGAAAGAAACTGTTTGGAAGTTTGGAATGGCTTAAAATAATACTTTATAATTGCATTTAGTACTTCACTGATGGGCATTTCCATTTCAAATTGCTACATGGATATCTCCCAACAGGATGAGATATGACATCTGTTGTTCTATTTATTTCATTGTACAGGATTCTGGCGACACGGCAACAGCCAGTTTGTGAAG